GTTTTATGTTATGAGTGCTTAGTGTATATTTAGTTGATGTTTTTCTTAGTTCATATCTTAGATGTTATTACTGTTTTTCTTAGACATTTTATTGTTGGATGTAACTGGGACCCCGTGTACATATTTTCGCTCCACCACATGTACCACATGTGCGAATGACAATAAAAAAATTATGACTCTGAATCTATATAAGGATTATATTGAGATAATTGTCAGAAATGCCTCTTTATTAAAAGTTGTAGACTAGATCTTGGCACCAGATTGAGGTACACGAGGACGGGCTGTCACAAACATCTTACCTTTGTATTTTCCACTGAGCTCGGAGTTTCTTCTGCATGGACTTGTATCCATTGTTTGTGCTGAAAAGCTCCCTCTTCGACGCATTGAAGATGATAACATTGTGCTGTTCTTTCTCCATCACTTCACACTTTAGCAGCCGTACTCCTAAAAACGAGGCTTCCAGATCAACTTGGATTCTGTTTATAAACCTTAGCACCGTTCAGGTCGACATGTTGTGGATCCCGTTAGCTAACATAGCTCCAACTCCGAGCCAAAGGTTAGCCGTCTAATTTAGCAAACATTTTCCTGAGTCGGTGTCCGTTGTTCAACAACAGTGTGATTAAAATCTGATACTTCAGCAAAGGAACGCTCTATTGTAGATAATTAGCAACAACACTCGCGTTTTTTAATTGACTTTTAGTGTTCAAATCCGTCAACAAATGACCTTAAATCTCCCATTGAAGCAGTGCATTGTGGGAGAAATAGGTAACTAAGGGCGCGCATAGATAAACATAGATATAAACACTAGATCCCGCATTGGCTGCTGCGGCACAGGAATTTCGGCCGCCATCTGGAAGCGGTCATCCTTATTTGGTTAAAGCAGAAGAGAGAAGGGGTTCTCTGCAGACCAAAAGTGGGCGTTTCTGGCGAATAGGCGTTTATGGGCGGCGAACACTGATTGGCTAACAGTATTTAATAGGCGTTTGTCGGCGGCGAACACTGATTGGCTGTGGGTAACCCTCAAAGTCACGAGTCATTTATGAGGTAACGTTTCTTTGCGATATTTGACAAAGAAATATGGTTTATTGTACTTATAAAGTATGTTATGTTTTCACTTATGCATTTTATTGAAGTACGTTTATTGTAGGTCACGATAGTTTCGACCGTTCTCTCGTTGTTGTCGTAACGCACTGAGGTAAAGTGAGCCTCCACTCGGCTCCTTTTCAAAATAAAAGCTGAAAATAAAAGTTCTTAATACTTGAAAAATAAATATTTAAAAGCTGTGTATAACTGAAAAATATGAAAAAAAATAAATAAATAAAAGTTATTAGCTGAAAAATAAATAAATAAAAGCTGTTAATTATATCTATGTCTTTCTGCCATGTCAGGGACCTCTCTCACTTCAGACTGACTCTAGAAGACCCCAAGATGTTGCCCAACAATGTTGCCCAACATCTGATGTTGACTTTCATTACTCAATAATGAGTAATAACTTATTCAATAAAAAGTCTGTAATTTGTCAATAATAGTCAATAATTCATTCAAGAATAGATTATGGGTGTTTGGTATGGCTCAGTGGCTAAAATGGGTTGGATGTTAGAGAAATTACTTAATTTTCAATTACCTGAATGCACAAATTCCTTCATTTATAGTTAAACTTTAGGAAATCAACTTTTTTTTTCTTGTGAAAAAAATATCAAAATTAACTTTAAAATCCAATCCAGGATTAAGTAACAACTAGCAACACCCTAACTGTACTATGTTCTGTGTTTCCAACAAATGCTACGATGACTTCTAAAAATGGATGTCCCAATAAACACAATAAATCCTACCTTACTGCCTTCCTGCCTGCTTTAAACCCATGTGTTTTTCATTTTAGCATAGATTTTTACAATAAAGATGTATTAAAAATATCTTCACTTTTATTATTTGCAGATATGCACAAGGTTAATGTTAAAATTGCAAAACATCCCACTGCTGTAATCTTTGAAACTGCTTTTACAATAAGCTACAGACTTGAAAACAATTAAATTAAATTTTGTCCTTAAATTTTAAAGATTTGTCTTTCATTAAATTTAAAAACATAAATTTATTACTTATTAATCTAAAAAAGTTAAGTCCTCTGGACATTCAAAAAACAAAACAAACAAAAAACTTTTATGGTTTATTTATTATAAACTGTATTGTTTGTTTTGTGAATGTCCAGAGGACCAGACTTAACTTTTTAGATTTTTCTACCTGGATTATTGAGCAGCATCAGGATATTACTTAATAAATAGTCAGTTGGTCTGCAAACACCATGGGGTCCTCCTAGAAGAGTTGAAGAGGTGGCTGTTGATGTCTGTGCCTCCCTGGTAAAGCTGCTGCTCCCACAACCCTGAAGCAGAAGATGATGGATGGATGGATGGATGGATGGATGGATGGATGGTGAAGGAGGAGACCATCAAACACAGCAGGAGTGGTCAGTTCAGTTGAACACCTGGCTGTTTGCTTCAGATCAGCTGTTCAAATCTCTGCATGTTTAAATAAAAGGTGCACCAGGGCTTTCAGCTGAATCTCTCGGGGGTTACAGTTGTATGGCCGATAACTGATAACTGTCTTTTCTGAATTTTTGACTGTTTTTGTCTCACTTCATCCTAGAACCAAAAAAATGTATAAATGTATAATGTATAATGTATATCTTTTCTTAGGATCCATTAAAGATCAAATGCAATTGGAAATTTTTCTCAACTTCCAGTATGAATTTAAACAAACACTATATGCACTTAACATTGTAAAATTTGTTTAGGAAATTTAATGTTCAAGGACACCGCTTAAGAAAAAAAATGTTTAATAGGAAAAGTAAGAAGTGAAAAATGTACAAAAATAAAAAATACTGCATCCAACTAATGATTGTCTGTCTGTCCCTTGTCTCACGGGATTCATCCAGAAGAAGACACAAGTGTTGTTCCTGCTGTGTCCGGTTCAGTTCTTCATGTTCATTCAGTGATGAAATAAGACTTTTCTTTACTGGACTCTTTTCTCTTTCTCTTCACTAGAAAGAAGAAAAAGGTGGTTAATTCAAGATATACTGTTTTTGAATAAATGCATAAAACAAAGAAAGGTGCAGCTAACAGCTATAATAGATATATTAATAATAATAAACTGATCAAATAAGAAAATGAAAAATAAATTGATTTAAAAATAATGAAAATAATATAATAACAGTGGATATATGAATCAGAAAGTATTATACAGATGCAGATATTCTTTATTGTCATTCGCACCTTGTGGTACATGCGGTGGATCAAAATTATGTACACAGGGTCCCAGTTAAACCAACAATAAAATGTAAAAGAAAAACAGTAATAAGATCTAAGATATGAACTAAGAAAAACGTCAACTAATAATATGCTAAGCACTAATAGCATAAAAACAATAAACACAATACGCCGAACAGCAGCACGGACATGATTCTGTGTGAACAGATGAGCACGAATGAACACAGCAACATGAAACAGATCAGCAGCAACATGAAACTGATCAGCAGCAACATGAAACTGATCAGCAGCAACATGATTATCCTAGTTAGATATTCATAAAGCAGCACAAACTCAAGTTCATGTTGCTGTTTGACATATTGTTTTCATTGTTTACTGCTATTACCATACCATACCATACCAATTTATTAATAAAGCACTTTAAACAGTGACAAAGCACACCAAAGTGCTGTACAGGGACAAACAGAACAAGCACACAGCAACAGATTACATAACAGGACCCCAAAAGTAGAAACCAACAAAAACAATAATGGATAACAACAACAACCGCAACATGACCAACACAGTGTGATGCACACAGACTCAGCACAGATCACACAGTGCTGAAAGCCAGGGAATAAAAGTGTGTTTTTAAGCGAGATTTAAAAACTGTGAGGGAGGGGGCCTGTCTAACGAGCAGAGGTAACTCATTCCAAAGTCTTGGGCCTGCTACAGGGAAGGCCCTGTCACCTCTGCGCTTGAGACGGGTTCCTGGGACTGTTAGGAGCAACTGGTCTGCTGATCTGAGAGAACGTGGTGGGACATACGGCTGGAGCAGATCAGTAAGATAGGAGGGGGCAGAGCTGTTTAGTGATTTATAGACATACAAGAGTATTTTGAATTTGATTCGAAGGTGAACCGGAAGCCAGTGTAGGGAGGCCAAAACAGGTGTAATGTGCTCTCTTTTGCTTGTGCTGGTCAAAAACCTATTAGTTCTTAGTGTATTATTAGTAGATGTTTTTTAGTTGATATTTTTCTTAATTCATATCTTAGATCTTATTACTATTTTTCTTTTACATTCTGTTGTCTGTAACTGGGACCCTGTGTACAAAGTACATAATTTCATCCCAATTCAGTATTTATTCAACATTTTATTTTTTTTTACTTTAAAAATAAAATAAAAGCAAGTCCTTATCGGCACAAATAAAGTGATGTGGAACATGTTACATCTGTTCTTACCGAGCACAGAAGGCTGCAGCGTTGTGCTGCTCTGTGAGGTGCAGCTGGGCTGTGATGGAGACCTGTCAGGTGTAGACTCCACTGATGGAGCAGGAGCAGAAGCCAGGAGGCTTGGAGGGTTTAATGTGGAGTTTAGAGATGAACCGTCACGCGCTGAAATACGTTCTGGATAAAATACAGTGAGAAACGGGACCGGAGGACAGTTGGCGTTTATGCAAATTAGCTTAGCATCGTAGCACCGACGTTGTTCTATTATGGCGTCAGCCTCTTTTGTTAGTTAAAAATATGTTCAGAACCGATGGGATGAGTAACTTAAAATATGTTTAAAGTTAGAAAACACTCACCATCTTCTATAAATGATTCAAGTACAGCAGTGGCCGTGTCCAAACCACCCTCCAATCGCTCCATCTAGCTCGCTTTGACTTTTTTCGTCGGCCACCAAGCACAACAACACCTGTACTTCTGCATTTGACCACGGCTTTGATATTATTGTTTTTTATAGCTTCAAAATACTAAAAGATACGCTCCTCGAGTTATCGCTAATGGCAAGCGTAGAGAAAAAATGGCAGATCGGGTTGTTTGGAAAGACTCCACAGACTCCCCCCCCCCCCGACCAATCAGTAACCGACAGTGTTTCTGACGTCACGGCTCGGCTCGCTTGGACCCCTTGAGAAGCCGGGCCAGAATTTAGGGAGGCGAGCCTGTTCCAGGAACAGTGGAAAGACCTCAAACTCGCGTGAAGCCGGAAATATCTGACCCGCGCCATAGTGGAAATGGGGCATTAGTCCCGCCCCCTCATACACTGACAGGTTGAGCTCCCCCTTCTGCGAAGGGCAGAGCCTAGGGCCCTATAAATTAATGATGACACGAGACATCGGAGCTCTTCTTCCGGGTCTGTGAACGCGTCACAGACTGAATAGAGTCCAGCGCTGTAAATTGTAATCTTTTACTGCCTTTTTCTAATATAATTGATAAAACTTAATTGACGTTTCCTTGATTTATTGATTAGCATAGTTGCCACTTCTGAGGAGGGTTCGAGCTGGGGGTAAAGACGTGGGCTAGGGGGGTTTCCGTATCCGGTGGCCCGCAGAAGATCACGTCTTTAACAGATCAAACAACACCCTGGAATCTTGTGCCTAGATTCTTAAGCTACCAGATCGGTAACAATTACAATTCTACAAGAGGAGGTGAGCGGCCTAAAAATGCCAGTTTCCCCTTGATTGACGTCCTAACCCCGACTACTAGGTTGGACGAGTCCAGGGGTGAGATAAGGGTG